CAACTCCAATAGATTTCCCAACCTCAAACTGCAGAAAAGACCTGAGAGAGGCAGACTTTGGAGGAAGAGGTTGGTTGAATAACCCCTAAAGAGCAGGAGGAGGCAGCAGATGGGCCCCCAAAAACCCAGACTCACAGAGGCAACATCCTTATAGCTCTGACACTTTTTAAATGAGCTCTCGTGACAGGGGTTCCCCCCTTCACACACTCTGTACCCCAGGAGTTTACAGCACATTCCATCTGGGCAGTTGCAGGAATATTGTGGAGTGGGGTCTTTGTGCACTTACTCGTCATTTTCATGCCCAAAAGGAAAGAAAACCAATAGGAAAAATGGGAGGAAATTGGCAGTCAGCAAATCCTCAACAAAAACTTTTCAGTCATTAAGACCTGGTCCAAATGGCAACTCCTACAGAGATTTTCCAGTAGCCAGTGGGCAGCACTAGCCCTTCTCTCCTCTGAGTTTCTTGAGGACTTTGCACGTTAAAACAGGTCACACACTGAAGGTGAAGGGGCCTGACATGCACTGAGCAGAGCCAGACACAGCGTTACATGTTTTTCTCTTATCAGCTTACTCAGTTCATACAGCAGTTCTTCAGGGTAAATGGTGTTCCTGCCATTTTATATTTCAAGAAATGGAGATAGAGCTAATGAGTGGTAGAACTGCGACTTGAGCACGTACCTGTAACATCTCTGTCATATCTTTCAGCAATTACACATTTTAATAGAGCCTACAATGAATGAGAGATACTTCACTTAAATCAGTAGTTTTCTAACTGTGTTCTAGGTAATTCAGAGTTGCTTCAAGTGTCCCACAAACAGTACAGAATTCCTCATATACAAAAAATGAAGAATTCAAATCGCCCAAAACAACCTACTCCCATTTTTGTCTGTGTTGCAAGTAAAATGCCCTTTAAAAATCAACCACAAATAAGCAATAAATGTTTCAAGAAAGAAATTTCAAGATTACTTTCCTAGACTGGCCAATGGTCCCTGACTGATAAATGTGCAGAAGAAAAAGGACCAGCCCATTAAAATCACAGGGGACACTTTGAGGACTGGGAGGTGGGGAGGGTGGGGGGAGAGGCACATGGCTGCAGGAGAAAACCACTTCTGCCCTAGAAGGGGCAGGGCTCAGGGTTCTGGGGCACAGGCACCAGCACAGGAGGCAGGTCAGGGCGTCTGAGCCAACAAGTGGGATGTTGCCTTAGCCAGGACACTGCAGACTGAGGCTCTTGTGGTGCCCCTGAGGCCTGCCCCACCCCCTTCCCCTGTCCTCCACCACCCGCTGTGCAGGAGCAGGTGAGCTGGGAGGGAAGCAGAACCCACCAGGTGAACCAAGTCATTCAGGTCACACTGCAGGGACAGAGGGGGCGACCAGACCCTGTCTACCACCACCCCCTTGCTCCTGAAATCTCCATTCTCTCTTCGACCCTCAGCAAAGTGCCCCAGTATTTAGGGCTAGAGCTGAGACAGCAGCTTCTTCGGGGTTATGTGCTTCTCATGTTCTGCATCCGTCCTTCCAGTTTTTCTTAGTCTTGCTGTTGTTTGTTTCCCAGGTTGTCTCTGTGGCCTGCATCAGCCCAAGGCATAAACTTAAAGAGCTTCTCAGGTTTTTGCTGTGTCTGTGCCTTTCTACATATCCTCATAAAAGCAGGACATTTAAACGCAAAGTGAAGGATTAAAGCAGGGGGGCATGGCTGTTAGTTCCCTGGGCACCTCTCCCACTAGAGGAGGCTGCAGCATGGAACCCACAAGCCTGAGATAACTTCAGAGTTCCAGAATAGTCTCACAGACAGGTTCTGCCAGTCCAATTGTTACCTCGGTGGGCGACACTCCTGGCCTTTCCTACTTAGCCTCATTTTGATGTTCCCTTATTATCCTTTTAAATATCTATGGATTCTGTACTGATGACTCCTTCCGAGGGCAGAACTCACCAGGTGAACCAAGTTATTTCAGCCACACTTCAGGGACAGAGGCAGCAGCCCCACCCTGTCTACCACCACCTCCTCTTTTCTCCCATGACCTCCATCCTATTTTCTTCCACCCTCAGGGAGGACCCCCAATATTTAGGATAATGCAACATCACCCAACTTTAACCTCATTTGTATTCTTTTTCTGATCTCTCCTTAGTCACCCCTTGACATGGTAAAAAAAATAGGGGAACATTCTATTTAAAAACAAACTTGCAGGCCAGCTGTAATTAAATTCCTCTCAGCAGTAATTTGATCCTATTACCGGGTCTCAGCCCCCTCAGCAGTGGGAGCGGCAGGAGCAGTGATCTCTCACCCTGCTGCTCCCCCACAAGTCAGTTGTGGCAGTTGCTCCTCAGAGCCCAGTAACTGCCATTTTGTAATGGGCCAATCAGGTGTGAGTTGTGAGCTGATTAGTGCTAAGTGGTCCAATTAGACATGTGGGTGGGGCACCCTGAAAGAGGATATAAGCCAAGATCAGAGGGCGCTGAAGGAGCCCCTGAAGAAGAGAGGATGCCAGCCCCGCCCCCACCCCCACCCCCCCGCAAAGAGGAAGAAAGAAGGGGAAGGCTCTGTTCCTGGCCCCTGAAGAAAGAGGAAAAGAAGCATCCAGCAGCTGCCCTCTGAGGAGGGAAGAGAAGCTGAAGGACTCTGTCACAGACTGAGCCTCAGTCCTGTCTCTGACATCATCTGGAAGGAGCACCAAGGCCCTGGGCCTGGCATCTCAGAGAGCTGTTTGTTGTTGGTGTAACCCAGCAACTCACAAAGAGCTGTAACACTGGGTGTCTCTGATGCCACCTCTGCAGGACCAGTAGTGACCATCACTACTGGCCAGTGCTGTCCAGCACTGCTGATGACCAGTGGTGACCACCACTGATGCCAGCTGGGTGAGAGAGCTGCCACTTGTTTCCCCGGTTTATAAAATAAACCCCATGGTTGTTCCTGGAGCCTGAGGCCTCTTGCAATTGTGTGCAGGTGAACCCACACACAGTGCCCTGTCCTCTTATTGGGCACTGTCCTTTGCTAGGCTACAGCCCACAGGCCCCTGTTGCATGGGTGTCATATTGCCATAGTCCTTGGTTTTGGTTTTTGGCTTTTGGGACTTTTTGTGGCTCTCTGGTCTCAGAGCCTGGGCAGGTGAGTGGCTGTTCCATCCTTCCATCTGGCCTCCTGCCTTGTTGCCCTTTTGTAGCCCTTTCTGCCCCTGTTTCAGTGTTAGATTTAGTATTTAAATTTCAGGTACCCTTTTTGATGAGGCAGCAAAGGTGACTTTAAAAAACACATTTAAACATTTCAAGTTTCTGCTTATGTTCCTGGCAAGTTGATAATTTTGTTCACTCATCCCCTAATACACAAATATTTCCTATGTGCTATGTTAGATACACAGAAAGAAATGAAAAAGACAATAGGCATTTGCCTTGAGAAGTTAACCTGTAGAGGATGAAACAGATATCACACCACCTGAATTTGCCCAGTGTGACCAAGAACAGGGTAGTTTCAAAGGGACTCAGACAGAAGCACACAGGTGGTCAGCGATGGGTCTGTACCTGCAAGAACTCTGCTGGTGGCCACCTAGGAAGATGGGCAGGTAATAAAGGCTGCCACATTTTTTAATGTTAAAAACTGCATCACTGGGCCTCCCTGGGTGGCCCAGCAGTTGAGCGCTGGGCTGCGAAGCTGCCTTGGCAGTGCCGGTTCAATGGCGAGGGTCCCACATGGCGCGCAGACCTCTCCTGCCGCCCGCTGCTCCCCTCAGCAGTGTGTTTCATTAGTCTGTCGGGTTCTGTTCCCCGCTGTCTCTGGTGAATCCTCTCATCCTCCTGCACTTCTGACTGTACCTAGTGCTTGTATAAATAAATAAAAAAAAAATCTTTAAAAAGAAAAAAAGAAACTGCATCACTAATGCCTCTAGGAAGATGGCGCCCACCCTCACAGTGCTCTGGAGGATATGAAGATTTTCACTGACAAAGGTACATTCCACACCAATTTTTGCCCCGTTCAATCATATTGAGATAAAATTGACACACAGCACAGTAGTTTAAGGTGTACAGAGTAATGTCTTCATTCATGTGCACACCTTTTGAGGTAAAGTCTCTCTCTATCATGTTTGAAAAGTGAAAAGAGACATTCATTTTCAAACTAGGAAGTCCTTCTGACAACAAGCTATAAGAAAACTTCAAGAAAATTTCTGTGCATTCCCAGCATACAACACAACAAAATGGAAGCATATTCTGGATGTAATACTGGTCCAGAAGGGAGAACACCTAATTGGAAAAGAGAGATAAGGGAAGGCTTGTGGAGGAGGTGACAACTGAGCCATAACTGTCACTGGATGACTCCACTGTCCATGTCCCCAGCTCCTTTGTCCCTGCTGCTCCCTTACCTGAGGCCTTTCCTCCCTGCTGAGATCCTGCTCCTCCCTGGCTCCTACATCAACTATCACCTCCCCCAGGTCTTCATCACCCCCTTTTCCTGCCCCTGGTGCAGAACTGATTACTTCCTCCTCAGTGACCCCTCCTTTCTGAAGATCACAGAATCACCCCCTGGCACTGAGAGACACTATATATTTGCGTATATGTTCCCATGTTTGTTTGCTTACTAACTTCTTTTCCCTTTTAGCCTTGAGTTTCCCTGAAAAGGGTGTTTTTTCTATTATTCAATGCTAAAATGCACTCCCAAAAATCATTTTGTTAGATCCTCATTTCATTGATGAGAAAATTAAATTAAGACTTAGAAAAGTTTTATGATTTGCCTAAGGTCACCCAACTCACTGCTAGAAAGTATTTTAACATCCAGCCCCAAGGTGGAAAACTTAGGGAGGACAGCTAGAACCTTGTACATTAAATAAAGGGTGCATATATCTTTGTGGGAGACACGTGTCCCCAGTGATGCTGAGTTCCAAGATGCGCTAGGATCTGGGGCGCCTCAGAGCTCCCGGGCCTTTGGGCAGGCCAGGAGCAGGGGACTCGGCGGGAGGTCGCAGGAACCATCCAGGCTGCTCGGCTCAGCCAGTACGTGCTGCTCCGGGAGCTCAGAGGGTGTGCAGGTCGTGAGGTCGCTGCGGCCCAGGCTGAGCGCCGCCCGGCTCCCGGCTGAGCATCACCTGTTGCAGAGACGTTTCGAAAGTTCGGGGTCCAGCGGCAGGCAGAGCCTGGCGGATAGATGCGCCTGTAACCGCGAGGGTCCGCGCGCCTCGACAGCGACGTGGGGCAGCACCTGGCGGTGACCGAGCCGGGGCGGCGGGACGCCCGGGACTGGAACCAGCGGAGGCAGGTGCTGCAGCGGGCGCGGGAAGAGGCGCACGGCGCGTGCAGACGATCTGGACCAAGACGTACCCCCGACTCGCGGAGGGCATGTGCGGGCGGGGCTCACCCGCAGGCCAGGGAGCCCCGGCGCCGCGCAAACCCAAACGACAGCAGGTTGTGGCGAGGGGTGGGAGGGGACTTTGTAGCTGGGCGTCCCTGGGGGAGGGGAGCTAGTCCCAGGCTAGACCAGGCGAGTGAGGGCGAGGAACGAAGAAATGAGACGAGCTCGCCAGGAGCCCGTCGAGCGTGGCAACTGGATGGCGGCGCGGGCTGGGGTGAGAGGATAACCTCCGGGTGGTGCGGGAGATGGCCGGCAGCTGTGTTGTCTTTGCCTTGCTTTCACATCGGGGTGATATATATTAGAGAATATTCCACATGTGCTCGAGAAGAATGTGTAGTCTTATGCTGTTAGATGTAAAGTGCTGTTTATGTCTGTTAGGCCCATTGTCTATGCTGTTGTTTAAAACCACAATGTTTTATTGATTTTCTGTTGGGTGTTCTATCCATTATTGCAAGGGTGGTATTGCAGTCTCCTACTATTATTATGTTACTTCTAATTTCTACTCAAATTTGTCAATATTTGCTCTATACACTTAGGTGTCCTGATGTTGTGCACAGTATATTTATAACTCTCACATCTTATTGGATTAATCTTTTTATCATTATCTCATGATCTTCTCTGTCTCTAGAGACAGTTTTTTTTTTTAAGTCTGTTTTTCTGATATAAGTAAAACTAACCTTGCTTTCTTTTGGTCTATATTTGCATGGATTACATTTTTCCATTCCTTTATTTTCAATCTCTGTGTGTCCTTAAAGTTTCTTATAAACAGTATATACTTGGATCTTGGGATTTTATCCGTTCAGCCACTCTATGTCTTTGATTGGAGAGTTTAATCCATTTATATTAAAGTAATTTACTGGGAAGGATTTAAGATTGCGTTTTGTTAACAGTTTTCTGTTTGTCTTTCAGTTCTTTGTCTCTCTTTGTCTTCCTTTGTGTTCTGTTTATTTGTTTGTTTGTTTGTTTGTTTTTGCATAATAGGCCTAATTCTTTCCTTTTTATTTTGTGTGCCTTGTATAGGTATTTTCTTTATGGTTGCCGTAGGGCTTACACATATATATAGTTATAAGTCTGTTTTATTCTGATAACAACTTAAGTTCACATGCATAGAAGAATTCTACACTTTGATCTCTCTTCCCATTCGTTATATTTTATGGCTTCACAATTTGCATCTATTTATATTGTGTATCCATTAGTATAATTGTTGTTGTTATTTTAATGCTTTTGTTTTTTAACTTTTATAGAAGAATTAAAATTGATTTACCTACTTCTGTTATAGGAAATAGTATTCTGTAATGTCTATATATCTGCTTTACCAATGTGTTTAATGCTTTCTTATACTATAATTTAACAATAACTTGAAGAATTCTCCCTAGCATTTCTTATTAGGCAGGTCTAGTGGTGATGGACCACCTTAGAATTTGTTTTTTAGAGAAAATCTTTATCTCCCTTTCATTTTTGAAGAGAGTTTTGCCAGCTATAGTATTTTTTGTTGCAAATTGTTTCTTTTGGCACTTTGAATATGTTCCTTTTAGCCCTTTAGCACCCCATTCTGATCTACAAAATGTTTGCTGAATAATCTACTGATAGTCTTATTGGAATTCCATATATGTGGCAAGTTGCCTTTTTTCTTGTTGCTTTCAAAATTCTTTGTCTTTAACTTTTGACAATTTAACTATGTGTCTCAGCATTGGTTTCTTTGGAGTCATCTTAGTATTCTTTTTTTTTTTAAAGATTTATTTATCTATACAAGCACTGAGTATAGTAGAAGAGCGGAAGGGTGAGAGAATTCACCAGAGCCAAAGCAGGGAGCAGAACAGGCAGACAGACAAAGTACACTGCTGAGGGGAGCAGGGGGTGGCAGGAGAGGTCTTCGCGCATGTGGGACCCTCGCCAGGTGGCCGGGGATCAAACTGGCACTGCAGAGGCTGCAGGCAGCTTCGCAACCCAGCGCTCAACCGCTGCGCCACCGGGAGGCCCCTTCTTAGTATTCTTTAAACTTACTGGATCTGCATGCATATTTCCTTTCCAGATTTGGGGTGTTTTCAGAATTTTTTTCTTCTAATAAGCTCTCTCTCTTCTTCTTCTGAGACTTTGAAAATGTATACATTGATTCATTTGATTGTGTTTGAATCCCATAAGTTTTCTGTGCTCTTCATTCATTTTTCTCTAATTTATTTGTTTGTTTTATTATCCTTTTAATTGTGGTAACATTAGAATTCTCTCCATCAGGGATTACAACAGTAAGGTATCTGCCACCAAATCATCCATAATCCACCACTATAGCTAAGTGCTTCCTCCTTCATTTTTCTTTTGGCATCTCTAACTAGATGATTTCCAATGAATTGTTTGTGAGTTCACTGATCCTTTCTTCTACTAGACCTAATGTTAAATCTCTCTTTTGAAGTTTTCAGTCCATTGTTCTTCAACTCTATGATTTCTGTTAAGTGCTTTTAAAATATTTTCTATCTCTCAGCTGTAAGTCTCACTTTGTTCATACATTGCTCTCCTGGCCTCAGTGAGCATTTTAAATTCTCTGTTGCAATTCAAACATCTTGAATGCTCTGTTGGGTAAGTCACATATCTTCATTTCATTAAAGTTGGTTTCAGAAGATTTGTCTTGTTCTTTTGTTTGTAATGTATTTCCCTGTTTATTCATTTTCTTTGACTCTCTATTGGTGTCTGTGCATTAGACGAAACAGCCACCTCTTCTGCTTTTCACTGACTGACTTCATATAGAAGACTCTAACCAATTAGCCCAGTCATAGATTCTTGGTGCCTCTGAAATCTGTGTGCATATTCAAATTGCTGTCTTTGCTTTTAGCAACCCTCAGAAGACTAGAGTATGAAAAATTTTATCAATGCCCCAAGAGAAGGTAAAAGTCAGTCCCTTGAGTAGCAACTGTAAAAGTTAGGGTGCTACATAGTCCAGTTTCTTCTCTTTTCATAAAGAAGCTAGGAGCTTGAGTTTATTACCCACTCACTCTGCCCTAAGTCAACAAGAGGAGCTGTAGAAAATGTCTACATTCTTATTCAAAAACACACACTCTTTTAAACCATTGTTTTCCCCATTGTAACCCCAGAATAGCAGGCCCTGTCAGCTCTCAGAGACCAATGAGTTAGAAGCCACTTCACCAGCAGCAGCCGGACAAGTTGAAAAGCTAGGAGTTGAATGTAATAGTCCAACTCCTTCCAAGGTGAAACTGGGAGCTTTATTTTTTTGATGGAGCAAGACAGGGGAGGAGAAGCACAGAAAACTGCTGGACATGCCTATTCAAGCTCTGGGAGAGTATGATTGCTTGTCTCACCAGATCCCAGAGGAAGGGGAGAAAAAGTCAGACCCTCGGGTAGCTGCAGAAAAAGTCCCTGATAGCTTTCAGAGACAGATAAATTAGAAACAAAACCTTCTTGTTTCAGCTAGAAAAGATGGATGCTAGATGTGTAGTTGAAACTCTTTGTTCCTCAAAAAAATGTTGATAGACTTCCCTCCCAATTAATCGGTATTGTGTTGGGGGGGGGGTATATGAGAAGAGTATGTCTCAGTTTTCATGCCATTTTCATTGGGGATATTTTCTCAACTGATGTACAAGATTCTCTCAATCAGATTCTCTGGATTTCTCACAAAAGGAATGGATCCATGCATAATTGTTAATTTACCATGTCCATGGGGGGAAAGAGAGTCCATAGCTCCCTCTACTACCATCTTGTTGACATCACTCCTAAGGATTTTTTTTTTTCATAAGTAATAAAATGACAGCATCCAAACTGTGTTTTCAGAAAAATGTAAAGTAGTTCGAGGAGAGTAGAAACTGGAATCAGGGAAATAGGATAAGAAAATGCTATTATTATCTAGAGAGATTTAATGAGAGCATTAATTAGAATGAGGAAAAAACAGGGGAGAGGAAAAGAGGGAACTGTGGAAATTATAATGAAAATGCCCAACAGAATTCTAAAACTAATTTAGCAGATGTTTTGTGGACATTCAACAAGGAAGCCTTGGAATACATAGTATTCCACATTTCAGAGATGTAACCATTTGCCTCTAGACTTAACTTCAGTACCTCTTGAAGGCCATTGTGTTGTCTGGGCAAAGCACCTAATGAGTAAATGTTTTGTTTACTGCCCAGGTGCCCTGTGGAAAGAAAAAAAAGGTGAGTTGAACTGGCAGATGGGCTATAAGCTTATGGTCACATAGGGGTTTAGTCTCAGTGTTTTCAGGCTGTCACCACTGCAGCACGGGTTCAATCCCCAGCTAGGGAGCTACCCACATGGTGCAGCAGACCTCTCCTCACTCACCTACCACTCCCCTTAGCAGTATATTTCAGTGGCTCTCACTTTTCTGTTCCCCACTCTGTCTCCTGTGAATCCTCACACCCCTGCACCTCTGGCGTACACCCCAGTTCTTCTATGCACAAATAAATTATTTTTTTTAAAAAAAGTGGTTGAAGTAGGGTGAGACTATAAAAGTGATACATCTGCGCACAAGACAAAAATGTCACAAGGAACAATAAATATGGGTATAGGTCAAGACTATTCTTTTTCCTGAGCCAGCCCCACTATGATCTATTTGTGTACAGAGAAAGTAGAAAGGAAAGAACTAAATTATTAAGAACCTAGAAGCACTGCTTTGGGAAATTACTAGGTACACATGGACATACTCTGCCCTCTGGAGGAAAGAAGGATACTGGTGGCAAGAGAAACTGCACCAGGTTTCTGGAGGTCACAAGAAGTAGGCAG